AATTGATTGAATTAAAAGTTGAGAATTGTTTTTTTTTTGGGAAAATGACAATTAAGGATCCACTAAGTTATTAATTTCAATTGAAGAACATAAAATTTGAAATTTTCAATTAAAGACCATGGTCTTTGAAATTTAAAAAAAAATGTGAATTGTCTTGAATGCCCCTAGGAAAAAAATCACTGAATGAAGTTAGTAAATTCCCAATTCACTTTTTGTATATTTATAAGGGACCTTAAAACATTCCAAAAGTGAGTTTCTTTTATACTGAAAAAAATCTATTTTTAAGTGTGGTTTCATTATTCTCAACAACTGACATTAACAATATCTCATACCACGATAATGATTTCAATAGTGGAATCTCATCGTCTCTTTGTTTTTCAAGTGGTAACTATATATAAATAAATATCAAATTTGATAAATCATTGGGTTCATATTCTTGAGTGAAGTTAATAAATTTTCAAGTCACTTTTGTATATTCATAAGTGACTTTGGAGCGTTTCAAAAGCGAGTTTGTTTCATACTAAAAAATAATTTATTAGCAAGTGTGGTCCCTTATTTTCTCAAATGAAATTAATAATATTCTCATGCTATGATAGTGATTTTAACATGTTATGTGCATTTTAGTATTTAGTAGAGGGTAATTTTGTAAAGTTATATATTTTTTTTTTCCCAAGAAAAGACCATAGTTCTTAATTAAGATTTCAATATTTTATGGTCAGTAATTGAAATTAATTGTCATTTTCCCTATTTTTTAATGTTAGGTGTCATCCTAGATAAATTATTGTGAGCCACGAAAAATATAGATAAAATACTACTTCTCTGTTAGCTATGTGTACAAAGAATATGCAAAGAGAAAATGGAAATAATGCCAAGCCACATTGATGATGGCTGACCCTCAAACCATTGTATATATAGAGTGAACGATTACAACAGGACCAGTTACAATGAGCCACGTGTAGGAGAAGAATCTGTACAAGATACAGAAGTGAATAAACACGATTGGCCAAGATTAACCATCTAGTATGATGCCTGATATTATGTTTTACAGGAATGTGACCTGTTAATTTGTTGCAAGAAAGATATGAACTCTCTAATTACGTGAAGTTAGCAAAAGTTTTGGAAATAGGTCCTGACATCCTATCAATGTTTGTTTGACAAATTTGTTGCGTGAATAGTGTTAAAATATCTAATGTGCGAAGTGATTTCACTTATCAACTGATTATTTGACTAGACCAGATATGAGATATCTATATTAATGCTTCCTTGATAACACTAATTCATGCATGCATGTATTTGACGTGAAATCAACTTTTTCGACCTGGATTTGGATTTCGTCAGTGTTTGCTATTACAACGCACTGCGCCTATTGCGATGGTTCTCATGCTCAATTCAAGATCTGAGTAATTAGTGAAGCGGTGCGATTGAGCATTGAGAACAGCACCGCATGGATGAATCTAAGACATTAGTTGAAAGCAACATGGAACGTTAGATGGGGATTAATTTCCATCCAAAATTATCGACCCATTTCTTCCTTTCTTCATCTTTCTTCAGACGCCTTCGCTCGGGAACACCATTTCAACTTTTCAAAAACCCATTTGGTCTCAAAGGTCAATTTTTGTCCTGCAGTTCCTTTGTCCAATCGGGAATGGTGAATTGGAACTCTTCCAACAATGTGCTAGTAAGTGGTGATCTTGTGTTCATGCTTCATTTCTTCAAAGTGTATAAGGTTGGTAGATGTTGGTACGCGAAGCACCCTGCTTTCTTTCTTTCTTCTTCTTTTTTAAATAAAAAAAATGGCATTCATTTTGGTGACCGCTATATCTGTAATGGAGTTGTTTACATGATAAGGGTGGGTTAACTTGTCGACCATATTACTGATTCAAAGAACTAGATGTCAATTTACCATCTGATTCCAATGACAACCGTACCTGTTATAACTGATTGCAGAAATATGGCAACTCAAGAATCCAATATAATCTTGTCGGAGCACTCAATTGCAGAAAACCCTATCTTTTGAGTTGCGGAGATCTTTATGGCCAAAAGGATGCCTCTAATCCGATCTCGAAGATGGGTTTCCAGAGTCTCCCTCGTTAAAAGTAATGAGGGATTTTCAAGTGTACTCAATGCATGATTCGTTTGATTTAATCAAATGTTTGAGAAAATACCACACGTTGCAAATACTCAATGTGCATGTAATAACTAATAACTACACTTATGGATCCAAATCCCTGGGAAGTGTGACCTCATCCTTTTGAAACTCCCACTCAACTTCATGGTCAATAAATTCACCACTTTCAATCAATATCAAACACATTCTTGATTGCATCCTTCTTTCCAAATGAGATGTTATTCAAGTAATATGGCATTAACTAGAGAGCTTACTTTGAAGAAGATCCAAGATGCATGCTCATGTTCTTGAGCATACATAAATCAAATCAAACCTCAAGTTTATTTTTCATCAAAGATAGGACCCTTATCATTTGTTTGGATGGGGATAAAAATAAGAAAGAAGGAAAATAGGAGAGAAGACTCTTAAAAATAGTACAAAAATTACTATATTTTTTAAGTTTCTCCTTCTGGTTTTCCCTCCTCCCTATTTTCTTCACATTTTTTCCTCCATCCAAACTAAACCTTAAATTAAAATATAAACTAAACCATCTAGGAACTTGACAGGGAAAATTTTTTCATCAGATACTAAGTCTGGGGGATTTGGCCAAAATAGATGGCATTGGCCCCATATAAAATGGTTTTCTGCAAATGTGAGTAACTTAACATAGGCGTCTTTAGATAGTTTAAGTTCCATTGAAATTATTATAAGAAAAATCTAGATATGCAAGTTCATTTAAGTTGCAAAAGCTTTTTGGCATTAAACCTGTCAAAGAATTCTTAGACAAAACGAGAACGTTCCGTTTCATAAAGCTTCCAACCCAACCAGGTATTTTCCCATGCAATTTGTTGGCACTTAAATCCAGCTTGCCTGAGTCTAAACTATTAGTTATTCCATTTGAAATGTTTCCTTTGTCGTTGTTGGAAAACATGGCCGCTCAATTTATTTCGTGACAAGTTCATAGAAGCGTCAAGTGCAATCTAAGCTTACCAAATTCTTGGGCAAGTAGCTAGATAAATTGTTTGACAAATCTAAAATATTCAGCTATCTCATATCACCTATTGAAGCTGGTAAACCACCATATAATTGAACACGAAGATGTGTCTATATAAATCAAGTCGGATAAGAGGGTGCCAATATGAGGAGGGATTTCACATTCGATGTCAAAGGAACATTAGAAACATATTCCATATGAAAACATTTTGAGGTGGAATTGAGCTCTAGGGGGATAGTCAATGAGTTCTGACTAAGACTGAAAACACATAATTGGCGTTGTTTGACACAAGCTAGTATGAGAAACTTCTTGAGATATTCAAACACGAAAGGTTTACATATCTCAACTCATTTATTGATGAAGAATAAAGGGGGTACATGTTTTGCTCAATTCATTAAGCATCAATAATCAATACAAATTCCATCGCTAAATGGGCTAGCGACAGAATTAGTGACAAAATAAGTCTGTTGATAAAAACAAACCGTCACTAAATCATTAGCAACGGACTTAGTGATGAAATTGCAATTCTATCAAATTAGCGACAAAAAATTTCTCTCCTTAAACAAGGATAAACTATTTCAATTTTGTGATGGCATGCATTATATTGCTAATTCATCAAAAATGAAAATTTCATAAAAAAATATCATTATCACATCACCTAATGAGTTAATGCCACCTCATAGCCACATCACAGTCACCTCATCACCATCTCCATGTCATATATTAACTTCAAATGTGTACTAACTAAGTTCAAACCTACAATCTTACACAATTGTGAGGCCTTTGGATCCAATCTTGCTGCTAGTTCAGCTGAAGGAGATCCTTAGTTATTAATGATATTAAATATAATATTAATATTTAACCCCCCTGTGCACGCGCGCACACACATTAATAAATACATAATTTAAATATATTTATTTAACATTGTTTTCAATTATCAATAAAATAAATTATTTTTAAACAATAATTATTTATATTATATTATATTTAAAAAAAATTTGTAGAAACTTTAATATTGAAAAAAAAATATGTTATCATCACTGTATATTATATTATAATTTTTATAATATAAATATTTTATATTTGTAAATTAATTTTAAAAATATTTTCTATTTTTAAATAATAATAATTAGGTATGTTACTATGTTATTAACAAATAACTAATATATAATTTAAATTATTATAATTTTATAATATCTAAATACTTTAAAATAAATTATAATTATTAAATTATTTATTTATATCATAATAAATTATATAAATAAATATATATATATTATAAATCATATAGTAAAATTTAAAATAATTTGTAATGAAATTAGTGATGAAATTATGATGGAAAGGTTTGCAATAGAAAATGCTATTACAAAATGAGAATAACATATCATAAAAATTAGCAATGTCATTTCAGTTAAAAAATTCTATTGTTAAATTATTTTTCATGGTTTAGCTAGAGGACGGCCACTACAAAAAAATCGACTTTTAATGATGACAAAAAGTCACTATTAAAAGTCCAAAAGTTACCACTAAAAGTTTTTAACGACTATTTTTTGTTACTAAAAGGTCGTTGTTTGTCGTTGTCAAAAGTATATTTTAGTGGCATCATAGGTTTTTTGCCGCTAAAAGTATTTTTGGTGGCAACAAATGTCACCACTAAAAAGACTTTTAGCACTTTTTTTAAAAGAAATAATAATTTATTTTATACCACATTATCCTACCACATGTGCATCACATGATACCACATCACCTATTATATATACGACAGATGATGTCAGATCACTTGCCATCTTGTGCCACATCATAAGCCACACGTTTGACAGATAATGTCACATCACCTCAAGCCATCTCATGTGCTACGCCACCATCTCATGCCACGTCACCTGCCACATGTATGCCTTCTCAAGCCACCTCATGTGCCATATCACCGTCACCCACGCAAGTCACCTGCCACATGTGTGCCTCCTCAAGCCACCTTATGCGACATGTCACCACCACAATATGACAAGGCCAAGGTTTGAATCTTTGACCTCTCTCACTTCCAAGCCTTAAGCCTCCCTTCTTTGGAAGTGGAATTGAAATGTACCTACAGTTATCATATGCAAAATTAAATATATGTTATGTAACTACATATACATATATCAAATAATATATTATTAAAAAGATATACATATATTATATTTATTTTCAATTATTAATATGAAAAATGATTTATAATAATAATTTTAATAAATTATTTTTTTACTGGTAAATATTATTTTTGTTAGGAAAATGAACTTAAAATAAATAATTTTAAATATTAAATAATATTCTTATATACATTGTAACCAATTTTTAAATTTTATTTTTATGTTTTAAATGAAAATTATTAAGTATATAATTTATTTATAAATATGTATTATATTATTTTATGTTAAATATCTTTTACTTTTTTCTTCTCCCATATTTTATTAAAAACTGATAAACTAAATGATTAAATTTTTATCATCTCTCAAATCGCTAAATGTTCCCCCCTCTTTTATTAAAAATAAATTTTTATCGATAATTTTTAATATCTTAAAAATTATTTTAATAACAAATTAATTTTAACCACTTAAATTTTATTGATAGTCATTTTGAATAATTTTGAAAATAAATACTAATAACTTTTATAATATATGATAATTATAAGAATCTCATATGTGATCAATCTAGTTAACATCTAATCATTCTCAACCCCATAGTAAGGTGGATTTGAATAGTTATTTATATTATTCTTAGTAATAATTAGTTATAAAAATGTTATCAGTAAATTTTTTTATAACAATGGAAACATAATATACTTGGAGGAATTATATAGAATTCTTATCCAAAAGTCATTAGAGCTCAGTAAAAGAAGTAGATACCATATGTATATCAAGTCAAGTATCAAGTGTGCAATATGCCAATTAGTTTAAAATATCATTTACATTGTGTGATATTTGTACAACTTTAACATCCCATGCCATTTATGTATTTGTATGAAAGCAATAATTTATGTATAACTTAACCTAATTAGAATTGAAAGTAATAATCCATCAAGATTTTAATTTATCATATTAAAATTCTAGCTTAATAACATAATTCTTAAAAAAATATGAGCTATATATGTCTAAAAAAAGATTACAAATAATATAAAATTATAAATAATTTAATAATTAAACTTAGCACATCTTGGCTATAATTATTTTTTTGTTCATGATCCTATATACCATTTATTTCTAATTCTATACATAAAATAAGAAATTTAATTTCATAAATATATTTTTATGATTTTATTTAATTTCAAAATTTTAAAAAAATTCATAATTTTTTCTAAAAAATTTAAGTTATAATTTTACAAATGTCACTACTAAAAGTGAATTACATAGTTTAAATTATTTTTATAAAATACTTTTGGTGGCAACAAATGTTATTTGTTGCCACCAAAAGTAGACTACATAAATTATTTTTAATTTTTAAATTATTTTTTATAAAAATACTTTTGGTGGCGATAAATATCACTATCAAAAGTAAATTATATTAATTATTTTCAATTTTTAAAATATTTTCTATAAAAATATTTTTGGTGGTGATAATGTTGCCGCCAAAATAAATTATATAAATTATTTTTTATAAAAATATTTTTGGTGGTGACAAATGTCGCCGCCAAAAGTGAACTTTTAGCTGTGACATTTAATTGTCACTGTCAAAGGTATAGTTTTGGTGGCAGCGATACTTTGTCCCACTAAAAGTGGACTTTTGGCAGCGACTCTTATTTGTCACCACTATTTTTAGTGGCAACTTTTTCATTCATTGTTAAAAGTCATATTTTTTGTGGTACTCGATGACTGATTTTTAGCTACAAAAATTCCATCAATAAATTTCAATTGCTAATTCACTATTTTTTTTTTGGTAATGATGCATTTTCACAATTGGAAGGATGGCAAAAATGGGGGATTCTCAGGCTCAAGTTTGCGATTAGTATTAGAGCTCCACATATCAAAGAAAACAAGGTTTAAATGATTGTCAAGAAATGACAGTGAAAGTAAGAGGTGTTGATTAGAACATTTCAATTTGTCAAATAATATTATGATGTTAGTGATATGAGGATTTTTAGATATATTTAAGATTTAACATATAGATATAGATATAGATATTTCTGTGTGAATATATAAAATGTTTTTGGAAGAGTTACTCCAATTTGACAATATTAGAATGTGACCTAGCTTAGATAGTGATATAAAAATATATATCATATGAGCATTATAAATTATTGTAGAGTTACCATTCATGTTACATCCTTAAAAATGATGATATAGGGGACTTTTTTAGGAGAAGGATTGTCTCCTCTTCCCTTCCTATCATTTTTCCCTTCTCTTTCTTTTCTAACCATTATATTAACATTTTGGACTTCAAAGATTTAATTTTCTTATAAAATACTTTTTTCAATTTTGTTTTGTCTCATTGCAATTTTGAACTATTCAAATTAAATTTTAGAATTTTAGTTTGATCATATTTATCTTTCAAAGTTTTAATTTTGAACTATTCAAATTAAATTGGATGAATGTGGCATTTTATTAATAATTTAATAAGAGATTGAACTCAACCTTCCAAATTTTAATCTAATGATTAGAAAAGAAAGAAAAAAGGGAAAGAGGATGAAAAGTTTAGAGGAAAGAATCCTCTATTATAGTAATGACTAAAACTAAATTTGACATATTTTACTATTGCAATTATAGAGTTGATCCTTAGTTGATAGATACATTATCATAATCTCATGAACTAAAGTTTTTTCTTTCCCACCTCTACCCATACAAAAAAATTGCCATTTTTCTTTCAAACCTGTGGTTGTGAAAATAGCAGTTGAAATAAAGAAAGATGATCATAGCTAGAAAAGCAGCCCCAAATGCTCCTACAAAGCTCCATATGAAGGCTTCTCGAAAATCATTTTCTTCTGAATAACAAGGTTGCTTGTTTCTTCCTATTGACCTATCATTGGAAGAGAAATTTTTTTGCAAAGGTGGACCACAAAGCAAAGGATTCCCTTCATAACTTTTTGATCCAAAAGTTGAAAATTGATTTTTCATGTCTGGTGTCATGCCAGATAAATTATTATGAGCCACAGAGAAGAAAGACACAAAGTACAATTGTGTTAGTTGTAAAGAAATGTGGCCTGTCAATTTGTTGTGTGAAAGATCTAAGCTTTCTATCTGCCTAAGGTTGGAAATAGTTTCCGGAATAGGCCCTTTCAATTGATTGTATGACAAATTTAATGCATGGTTAGTGCATAAGTATCCAATTTGTGAAGGAATTTCACCTATCAATTGATTATTTGAGAGATCCAGCCCAAACATGATATTTAAATTATTTCCTTTGTAAATTTCATACCTTCTTTTTGTTGTAAAATCTACTTCTTGATCTTTAGACAGTGTAACATTTTGTTTTCCTTCCCGTATGCCAACTTCACCAGTAAAAGTGTTGAATGAATATGGTGAGAATCTTGTAGTCCAGGACACAATAAAACTTCCAATTTTGGTTTCCCTTGGTGCATCCATCTTTCCAAACGTGATATAATACAAGCAATATGGTATGCCTCCAGAAATCTTATTTTTAGAAAGATCTAATAAGCTTATATTCTTGAGCTCAAATAAATAGACTGGAATAGACCCTTCAAGTTTGTTTTCCTTTAACATGAGCACCCTTAAACTCACAAATGAGCTGATCAGCTTTGGAATTCGACCTGAAAATTTGTTATTCATCAAATTCAAAGTCAACAAGGGGGAATTAGCCAAAGAAGAAGGTAGAGGTTCAATGAAATGATTTCTCTCTAAATGCAAGTACTCCAAAAATGGCATATTTAGACAGCTTGGTAAAGACACATTGAATTTATTGTGAGAAAAGTCTAGATATTGAAGTTTAGTTAAGTTGCAGAAGCTTTCTGGTATTGAACCTGTGAAAGAATTCTTGGACAAAATGAGGTAACTCAAATCTAAAAAATGTCCAATCCATCTAGGTATTCCACCAAACAGTTGGTTGGCACTTAAATCCAGCATTCTTAATCTAGTACTATTAATGATCTTACCTGGAAGTTTTCCGTTGAAGTTATTGTTGTCGAGGCCCAAAAAGAACAAATACAAGAAATTTGATCCAGTGGGTAAACATGGCCCACTTAGGTTATTGTTTGACAGCTTCAAAAAACTCAAGTCATTACTACCCATACCAAATTCTTGAGGCAAGTAACCTGATAAGTTATTATTCGACAAGTCGAGATCATACAATAGTCTCATTTCACCTATTGAAGCTGGAAAACAGCCTTGCAATGAAGTTGAAGACATATCAAGGGAAATCAAATTGGGAAAAATGAAGCCAATATGAGAAGACATTTCATCTTTGATGGGGTTAAGAGAAATATCAAAATATTCCATTTGAAGAAATTTTGAAGTGGAATTGAGTTCAAAGGGACCAGTGAACATGTTGTGGGTTAGATTCAAATTATTTAATTTTGTGTTATTTGTCAGGAGCCAGGATGGTAAAGTTCCTGAAACATTCAGGTAGCTAAGTTCTAGATCTTGCAAGCTATATTGATGAAGAAGAAATGAAGGCACTTTATTATTTCTGGCTTCATTTAGAGTGCAGTTGTGAATACTTGAAAGCTTTAGCTGGAAGGAAGGGATAAAAGGGGGGTTCTCAGTTTCAAGCTTGAGATTGGCATTAGAGCATGAAATGAAAATGATTTTGAGGTTGGAGTGGTTGGCAAACAAAGAGAGTGAAAATGACCCATTGAAATAGTCGTCAAAAACAGAAATTGCTATTAAGGACCTCAAGGTATGGAGGAGTGAGGAAGGAAAGGTTCCTTCAACATGATTTTCTTCAAGACGAAATTCACGTAAAGATGTCAAATTTTTAAGGCAAGCAAGAAGTTGTCCCTTCAAGTTTGTTATGGCTAAGACTTAATGATACAAGATTCTTCAGATCGCACAAGCCTCCTGCAACATACAATTTTTTTTGGTTAAATTTAGTTAATATATTTATCAGTAAAATGATTATAAAATTAAAACTAATAACTTTAAACATTAAACGTTCTTTTAATTGGTGTTTGCGGGCTCTCTATTTTTTTAGGGGTAATTTAAACACATATTCCCTTTGGTCCTATTTATAGGGTAAAGAGAAAATATTTTTAGGGGTCCTATTTATAAGTCATCTCATTAAATTTTCATTACTAATTCTCCTATTTGACTTCTGTTGAATGTTAGAGACAAAATATATTATTAAAGTATGTATATTTAATAAGGATAAAATTAAGAAATTATTAAATTTTCATATAGAATTAATGAGTTTTAAGATTTTTCTTAGTTTCGATAAAATATATATGAAATGACTTATAAATAAAATTAGAAGAGTACACCACAAAAACTTACAAGTATGTGAGTATTTTATTTAAGCTATTTATCTCTCTATTTAAAATTCAAGGGTCAATGATTTGATTAAAGAATTGGTTGTAATAAATATAACCAAATAGAACTAAGTTTTCTCATTATTTGTATAAATTAATAGAATATAAGGTTAAATAGTAAATTAGCGCCTGAACTTGTTTAGTTTTTGATATAATATTCTCTTTTAACTTTTGAAAATGATGTAAATTTTCCCTATCATTAAATAATAATATTAATTTTGACCTTTAATTGACTTAAAAGATTTTTTTGGTCCTTTTCTGATATTTTTTGTCTTTTGCTAAATTTCTTTTCATTTTCTGTAATTTTAAGGTCCTTTTATGTAATTTTCTAATTAACTAACCGTTAAAATTAAATGTTGTTAATGATAGGGGCGACATTATACTATTTTTAAAAGGAACATACTAAAAATGAGTTTAGACTCTCAGACACTTATAAACATATATAGTTTAAGAATGAAATTACCTTTTAAACCTAGAATACGCTTGAATAAGGAATTCAATTCTAACTTTTAAAACATAAATAAATAGAAAATGTGTGCGTATGTGTGTGTGTCAGGAAAAAGTGAAAGTGAAAATTTTATTAACGGGTTAACCATTGATACCAATGGGCTTGTATTTTTGAAAGCAATTTAAACCAAAACATTCAGGATATTGTATATGAAATTCTTTATCAATCTAATATGATCTCAAGAGATGAATAATATGATATATTGTTTTTTTTAACTGGAAATGTATAAATATAATATCTTTCTGAGGTAGCCAACCATGCAGGTTATTAAAGGGTAAATACAAGACTTTGAGAGAAGTAAGGGACGTAATATATTCTGGGATACTGCCCTCCAAGAAATTTAAGCCAACATCCAGACACTCCAAGTTGCGTGAATGAGAAAGATCTGTCAAATGTCAAATAGAAATTAACGTTACAAGTACTATAGGTAGTTAATTAGAAACATTAAAGGACTCTCTACCCTGCTATATATAGTTTTGGTTGGAGCAAAATGCTAAAACAGAAATATTATTCCGTTCCATTTTCATGGATTTGGATTAGTGAGTGGATTAAGTTCATTCACTCAATGAGTGATATAATACTCATAAAATATTAAATCTTAAGTTTTGAAAGGGATTGTGAGTACTCTAAACGTGACGATTGTTTTGAATTTTTAAAGAAACATGTATCTTAATAATTTTTAAATATTAATAAAATCTAATTGTTATAATTGAGACATTTATTGAGTGAATGGATTTAAGTTATTCACTGAATCTAGATCCCGTGTTTCATTCCAGTTTGGATGTCCCTCCTTTTTTTTTTTTTAATTAATTTTTGAAATGAAACGTGCAGAATACATGATTCATGCAAAACTCTATATACATTTAATTGAGAGTCATCATAAGTAGATTTTATATAGTTCCTCTGGAATTAACATAACGTGGATAGGAATATGATCTAAACTAATAATACGCTTCTTTATTTGCTCTCTCTCTCTCTCTCTCTCTCTCTCTCTCTCACAAATATTATTCATAAAATCATTTAGTAAGACTAGTTAAATTTGATTCCTAACTTGTGGCTAATATCTCTTAAATAGAAAAACTTTTGATCCCTGCACGACAGAATAATGATGATGACGACGACGACGACGACGACGACGGCATATAATAATATAACTATGAACCCATAAGCGGAAAAACAAGATAGATCAGCTAAGTAATTAAAATATGCCGTTTAAATAACCTGTAAAACAGAAATTGATCACCAAAAGATGGGAATTCTGTGAGCTGATTGTTTCCCAACTCTAAATATTGCAAGCTGTCCAATCTAATTTCCCCAAATAGCCCTGCTTCATGAACAAAATTTGATTAGATGTTAAACTATAACAATGCACTTATACAATGTTGGCCTTTAAAGGGACACAAGAGCATAAAGTTAGAGTAACAAAAATGAGAATGTTGAGATGTAGATGTACAGATATATATGAAAAGATAAAAGTCAAAGTGAATATATATCAAAAAAAGTAAGTGTGGCATCTATTGAGAGAAAGATGGTAGAAAGTCCTTTGAAATGGTTTGGTTACATATAGAGAAGGCCGTGGAAGGCACCCATGAGAAGGGCGGAATGGATAGCCTTGAGCCTTGTTAAGAGAAGTAGAGTAAATCCAAAAAGAATACTCATGAAAATTGTTAAATGAAACCTCTTAATTAACAATATTCCTAAAAATTCGTTAATAATATAGAATACAATGTCATTGTTCAATTCATGTAGCTAACCATACTTAATGAGATAATGTTTGTTGTTGTTAAATAATAACAATAACAGGCTTTATAAATGGATTACGTGTATATCATGGCATACATTAAGATGATCTATGTCAGCCTTTCTTTATGTTTTTTCCCCTTGAAGAAAGGGGGTCCTCATGATCCACCCATCATGAATTTTCGCATGTATATGTCATGTACTCACGTGTGGAAAAATTTTACTATCACATAATATCAGGATTCGAGATGTTTAAGAATAATATTTGTTTGTAGATCAAACTAAAAGTATCAACTATATATTCAGATACATATAAAGATAATCTATGTACCTACAAATGATTTTGTCATGAGTACAAGTTTAAAAAAGAGAGTTCGTTCCAAAAAACCTAGCTTATTAGATGGAAGTGTTCCGCACACATATAACCCTTGCTCCACTTGTGAGACTCCTCAATGTGAGACTTCTGACAATCCAATGTTATGAACATAAGTCCGAAAAGAAAACACATTCCAAAAAACTAGTATATTATGTGGCGGGAGAACCTCTATACTCTACTTGTGAGACTCCCACACAGGAGTTCCCCTTTGAGAAGGGACATTCTTGGTGGCTCCACTCAGTCTCCTGCTAGTCAGAGGGCTTCGGAGATCGTGAGTAGCCCTCTTTGTGACGCCAACCTCTCAACGAGAGTACTAATATCAAAAGATCAAGTTTAAAGGGAAAGTTCATCTCAAAAGACTATTATATAAGGTGGGAGAACTTTTCACACTTGTAAATCCTAGTTCACTTGTAAAACAATAAATCATAAAATGTTGAAAAAAAGTGAAAGGCACTCTATGTACATGAATCATAAAATAGTGTGAGAGAGAGAGAGAGAGAGACCTGACAAGTAATTGCCAAACAAAATCAACAATTGAAGTTGTTGAAAAGGGAGAAAATAAGAAGCATTGAGTGACCATTTGATGTGTCTCAACTCATAAGCTCTTGTCTGGTTCAGAACAAGTACTTCCGCTCTGTGGGTAGCGTTGTCACACACAACTCACTCCCAAGTGCAGCAATCAGAGAGAGAAAGGTAATTCCAAGAAGGAAGAGAAGAGCCATTTGGGTAATTGAAAGCTTCTTTCAGTTTCAGAAGCCCTTCTTTCTCTTCCTTCAAGCACCCCTCAACTCCATGAAACCCTAAAAATATGAATATGATGAACATCACCACCAACCATGGTCGGTGTCTCACTGTACACCCCATTTTTCAGTACGCTTTCTTACTTTGTTTTGTTATTTGGCAATGTCTCAATTACTTACTCTCAATCTATATATAGAAGGAAGGACGAGAAAAGGTTTTGTTTGGTTTTTGTTTTGAAAAATAGTTTTTTTTTAAGAAATTAAAAAAATTTGTTTGGATAAGTATTTTCAATTTAATTGTTTTCAAAACTGTTCATATTTTTTATTTTTAAAAATAAAAAATAGAATTATATAATTTTAAAGTTGTTTTTATTTTATTTTTCTCATTTTCAAAATACATTATATTTTATTCTTGAAAACTATAGTTATCTTGATTAGTTACTATCACAAGCCACTACTATTAACCACTAGTAACTATTATCAGTTGATTTTTTAATTTTAAAACTATTTTTAAATTAACATGACCAAATAATTTTTAAAATTGCATTAAAAAATAATTTTAAAAAAGCAAAAAAATTTGAAAATAGAAACAAAACAAATCCTAAGCTCCATTGATTTATATTTTCAAAAATTTTTTATTTTTAAAAAACAAAAAAATGTTTGGATAAGTGTTTTTAAATTCAAATGCTTCTAAAAATATTCTAATTTTTAGTTTTTAAAAATAAAAATGGAAACATCTTAGCTTTGAGTTTTTTCCAGCCGTTTTCTTTCTTTTTTTTCTTTAATTTTTAAAGCACACATTACATTTAATTATTGTAAATTATTTTTAGAATTGTAATCAACCACTATCATAGGTCCATTAGCATCCTTTTTCTTATTTTAAAATTGTTTTTAAATTAATATAGCATATTTTCATTTTTTTGTCTTGATAAACAATTTTTAAAAATTGGTTTATAAAATAATTTTAAAGAAACAAAAAGATAGAGAGTTCTCAAGTTTGAATTTGTGTAAATTCAAAAAAACATCTTTGAAAGAATTATCCTAAATCTAGCAATATAAACAAACAAAAAATAGAATAAAACCAAGCAACCTCTAAAATTTCGCACCATCTTCCAAAACAACACTGTCAACATATGAAATCAATTAGTGTCGTATTGGCATTGATATGGCCTTAATTATAGGAGCAGAAAAAAGGTAAGCAACAATAGTTTGTCCTATATTACTTACAGACATGCACACATGATATCCCCGCCGTTTGGTGTGGAATCGGCACTGCGCTTATTTGATATTCCAATTAAAGGTGGTCGTTTTTTGAAACACCTTATATAACAATAGTATTTAATATTTAATCTAAAATATATAACTGTTTTTGAACAGTGTACTCCTTTCTGTCGTTTTTACAAGGTAAGGAGAGAAATCATTTTTTTCCTATTTATAATTTATACCATCATTAAATTTTTATCATAAATTTTTTCTTTTACTCTCATTAAATATTAGAGAGAGAAATATGTTATTAAGTATGCATATTAAATTTAGGTAAAGTTGAAAACTTATTAATTTTTTAAACAAAATTAATGAGTTTTAATATTTTTTTTATTCTGATAAAATATATTGAAAGTTATTTATATATAAAATATATCAAAAAAATAATTTTTTATAAATTTCATGAGTTATAGTTTCTGAAATGTTATATATTAATATATTTAGCTTCTATAATTATAAATTCATATTCATAAATTTTTTTATGCTTTGACTACTATTTTCGTTTAATTTTCCCCTTTAAAAGGCAAGTTGGCATAATGGCATTCTCGACCTGCCCGAAAGTCAACTGTTCCCAGTCCTGGAGATAGAGGCTATAACCATTTTTTTTTTTTTAGCTCAGTATTCAATGCTCACATTTCTTAATGTTACATTGTTGCGTTTGTATGCATGGGTGCATGTGTCACCCTTTTTTATGATAAAACGTTAGTTTAAGGATAAAATTTTAAAATACTCATATTTATCATTAAATCTATGAATCAATATTAATTAACCATCAATATGACATTTAGGATCTATAAAAAGTGGTATTCTCACAAGTTGTGCGTGTTTATTCCTCAAATTCAATGTGACGCAAGAGCAATAACCCAACTAATATTTATTCTCTTTGGACCGCAACACAGGATATTAATAACTACTCGAACTTCATAGTTAAAAAAAAAAAAGTTAGGTGAAACTTTAATTTCTTAAAAAATTTTACATTTTTAATATTATCTTTAAAAAATAATAATAAATGAAGTAACGTATAATTAGAAAAATAATTATAAAAATTACCTAATTACTTATATTTTATATCAAGTATGATTTCTAAAAAATTTCTTATATTACAGTCCAAAGGAAATAGCTACTATAATATCTTACAAAATTTCTTATATTGGTGTAAATATTGCCTCAAAATTTTATTTTTTTTGGGCTAAATCATGTCATGCACTATTTTATTATTAAGCTGTGGACAAGCATAATGTCATGTCATACTATATTGGGCACTGAGATGCGTGCATAAATATCATTGTACTGAGTTTGAGGTAAAATGAATCATAATGACGATATAAAATTTGTGAATAAAACAATTTGTTATAAATATTTATTATACCGCTTGATGTAAATCGTTTATAATTTCTAAATTATGGTTTTACTCCAGTATGGTAACAAATTTGTATTAACCATGGCAGCATGCAATTTACTCACTTAAAATCTTCAATGTATGTTGCTTTATTTTCAAAATTAAATGAGAGAGAAAACAACTTACATGTCATAAAATCCACATTTTTATATAAATTAAGGTATTCTGTGGAAAAAAAAAAGAAATAAATTACGTTCTTGTTACCAAAAAAATATGATATTGAATTAATATATGAAAATGTAGAAAAATCTTCATCGATTGTTTACATAATCTTAACATATATTTTTTATCAAGTCAGACTTGAGTATTATTGGACTGAATTGGAAATAACTCTTTCAAAAACGCTTTATGCATTCACATAGACTCAAATTTGAGAACTCGTATTTAAACAGTCATAAAGCCCTTCTACTAAAATTAATGCCCTGCTGATAATATTAAAATATTTATTATTCAGACTTTTCTATTCAACATTAAAATGAATCATATTGTTGGATGGGAGAGGAAGATGTGGTGGCAGAAGTAAACTGTACGAACTTAGACAAAAGCCAACTAGCAAAGGCGATTGAGGGGGAAAAACACTACAAAAAAATAACTTTCAGTAGCGACTTTAAGCGGTGACACTAAAAAATTACTACTGATTCTCAACTTTCAGTGTCAACATCTACTATCGCCGCTAAAAGTTTAGAATCAACGGCGACTTTCTGGTGTCGCCGCTGATTGTCAGCATTTTTATAATTTTTTTAAAAAATTATGTTGCAAGTTTCAACAGCGACATACAAGTCACTGCTAAAAGTTTAGAATTAGCGGTGACTTTCTCGTGTCGCCGTTGATTGCTAGCATTTTTATAATTTTTTTAAGAAAATTATGTTGCAAGTTTCAACGGCAACTTACATGTCGCCACTGAAAGTCAAGAATCAGCGGTGACTTTCTATTTTTTAATTTATTCTATTTTCTATTTTTGATATTTCTATTTGTTCTTCAATTCTTTTATAATGTATTTCTTTATTTCTACCTCTTCTACTTTTCCTTTAAGTTCACTATTCCTATTTGACTATAGACTAAGACTCTTAAGACTTATCTTATTCTTCTTTTTTGACTTAGATCCTAATATCTTATTAAACCATCTTATATTTCTATTTCTATAAGTTTTATTTTCTATTAATATTGTTCTTCTTAGGCTTAATAGGAACACCACTACCTAACTTTCTTATTCTTTCACAAGATTTTTGAATATTATATTTCTTGAATATTCTCTGTTTGTTACTAAACTTGGCAATATCAGTTTTTTATAAGTTATATGTGATATTATGTTCATGTATCTTTGTGGATTTATTTCAAAAGGGGTGTTATCTATTTCATTTTCTATTTCTTTTTCTATATTTTCTTCTGCTTTTATTTTACTAGTTATAACGAAGAACAATAAATTTTACTGTTTTAACATATAGACAAATAATTAATATTATAAAACTAGAATTAGAAAAATACAAGCGCCTTTTTATAATTTTTTTTTTAAAAATTATGTTGTGACTTTCAGCGGTGAGATTAAAAAGTCACCACTGAAAGTCACCGCTGAAAGTCAAGAATCAGCGGCGACCTTTTAGTGTCACCGCTGATTGTCAGCATTTTTTAATTTTCTTTTTAAAAAATTATGTTATAAGTTTCAACGGTGACATACAAGTTGCCGCAAAAAGTCGAGAATCAGCGGCAACTTTCTAGTGTCGCCGCTGATTGTCAGCATTTTTATAATTTTTTTTATAAAATTGTGTTGCAAGTTTAGCTGAAAGTCGAGAATCAGCGGTGACTTTCTAGTGTTGCTGCTGATTCAGCATTTTTATAATTTTTGTTAAAAAATTATGTTGCAAGTTTCAGCGGCAAGATACAAGTCACTGCTGAAAGTCAAGAATCAGCGGCTACTTTTTAGTGTCGTCACTAATTATCAGTATTTTTTAATTTTTTTTTTAAAAATTATATTGTAAGTTTTAGCGGTGATATTAAAAAGTCGCCATTGAAAGTGGAGAATCAGCGGCGACTTTTTAGTGTCATCGCTGATTGTCTGAATTTTTATAATTTTTTTACTAATGTTTAATCATCAGTATTTTTACTATTTATTCTTAGATATTTTTTATATTATAATTATAAATATGAATATTAAAATAAATAATATAACAACCTCAATAAGTAAAAAAAATTAAAATAAATAATGCAACTTATATTGTATCAATTATATTTATAGTTTACTTTAAACAAAATAAATAATATAATTTATAATTTTATAAATTAAAAGAATTAAATTGAAGTATTTAAGGATAATAATAATATT